TTGTATAAGAGACCAACAGGCTTCAACAGATGAATCCTGCGGCAGCGACCAGTCTACTTCACTGGCGGCACGACTGAGTCCATCGAAGTCTGTCTTTTAATAATTGTAAGACGGCTCCTGCAGTAGGGCAGCGAGTAGGGAAGCGGCAGCTCTAGGCTGGCTAACATCATCGAGTGGTCACAAGCTGCCAGAGGCTCCAGGATAGGAATTTCATGTACATGTTGCTCGCAACTCGTTATTAGTAGGTCCAGACGCGATGGAACGGTATGCGGTGTAATGCGCGTCGGTTGACGGATATGTTGTGTTGCCCCAGTTTCAACTACCATCGCAAACTGCTCCTCGATTTCACAGTGCCTGGGGAGAAGTTGTACCTCAAGCCATGGTATTCGAGAGAAGTTAAAATCACTCATAAGCAAGAAGCGGGGCCGACTCATGTAGTTTCTGGCATGCGGCAACCATACCAGGCATCAACTTCGCGGGCTGAGATAAGCCGCACCCACAAACAGATCACCCTGTCTCAAGCGGATCGAGCACCATAACTTTTCTCACAAGTCATCTTCGCTACGATAGGTGTGCAACAGTCTCTCGCACAGCGAGGACCTCATGTATAACAGCGCACCGCCTTGATCGTTTGATAGTTTGTCGCACCGGAAGCACGAGTAGCCACTGATCTGGGCTTCCTGGGTTGTGACCTCAGGATTCAACCAAGTTTCGGCCAGTCCTAATACGTCCGGATGACGTGAGGCAATGAAGTGAAATACATCGTCACGTTTTTTCATTAAACTACAAACATTTGTGAAGACTACGCGCAGGCTGCGGCAGGAATTGACAGACGCGCATGAAACGTCATCGATCTATTGATTCGGGTTCGGCGGACCCGGGGAACTACCCGAAAATTTACACTATCAGTCCGCCGCTTCACGATAGCCGACTTCAGTTCCTCTCTGTCCGACGGATCCAAATTGGTACGAATATGGATCTTAGACATCAGCCTACCAAGGCGGAATAGTGTCAGCCTTGGACTGGTTGCGTAAATAAAGTTGGCTCGCAGAAGTCAGGATTTCCCCTCCTTTCTCTTTACAAGACGGGTGATTTGCTTCACCCGCAACCTCTGTTCATTCAGGTCGAGAAGCCTATCAATAAAGCTCTGCGGAAATTCCACATCGTGGTCATAACGAGCCTGAGTACCAGCGCATGAAATATCATAAGGTTGCAAAGCCGCCGACTGCTGGCAGTTGTCTTCGTTTTTTGTTTCACTGCATTCTCCATTGGCCTTCAACGCCTGCGCCATGGCACACCGGTGTGTTAGTGTCCGTATGACGCAACACAGGCACGCTAACTGAGTCTCCAGCAACGGGTGGACATCGCGCTGGAGAGCCTGCAGTCGGGGTGCAAATGGGCTCGTTCGAAAATAGAGGTGGTTGGGTTTCCGCTTGCTTGGATGAACCCACGGAGCTCCTCCCTATGGAATGTTTTGCCCGTCTTGTAGGTTCCCGCGGCTTTCTGGCAGTTTATGACTGCACAGTGGCTTGGCATTTCTTGCATAATATTTGGACAAAGTCATGCTGGATTTCACGCAGTAGTTTAAAATGTTCTAAAGACAAACCAATACAAGAAATGTGGAAATTCACATCACACATGAGGCACGTAACAGCATTGGCTCTATACCCAACTATTTTGCAACAAGCGCCACAGGGAGTCAGCTTTGTCATCACTGATAACTTGGCAGATGTGACAGTTTAGGTGATAAAGTGAACGATAAGTGCCCGATACAAATAGCAGGTAACTAAAACACAATACACAAATTCAGAATCGCAAAAGAAACTGAAGTTGACAAAAATAAACACGAAAAATCTGCTCTGCACAAAGTAATGTACGATGCAAGCTGGCCTGTAAAATAGAGCGAGAAAAGCCGTCCGGCGAGCGCTATTCTGTGCTTCATGATGAGGTCAGCCCACAAGCGACGATAAGGCAGGGTGCAAAGTCCTAGTCTTGCACTGGTCTTCATAGGGCACACCTGGTAAAGTGGGGAATAACCTGCCGGACACATGCTGTACCCGCTGAATTATTTCCACCTCGCCCCGGGTGATAGAACAGTATGCGGCTGAGCCATACTCTTGCAGTTGTCGGATAACTGAGATGAAATAGGGAGTGGCAACCTCTTCGGACCAAAGGAACAAGCTACGCTTGAGCGCCCAAAGCATTCCGTCTGTTTACGTAAAGCCTATTCGTGGTGTCCACTAATTTTAGGTCGATGCGTGAGAGTACACGGAGGTTTGTCACAAAGGGTGTGGGATGCAACGGTTGACGGGCCACCAGGTAGGTTCGACTGCGTACTACACTCCTTAGCCTAGTGAACCGGAAGGTTTACTTCTGCAGTCCACATGCAAAAGCGATCAAAGCCATGCTGAAGCAGGTCCCAGTCGTCGGTTGTGTCTGTTACTATCAACACCTTCAACTCATCTGTAAACAAGGCACAGAGAGAGCGGAGAAGCTGAGGCATATGGTTTATATGCATTAGGAACAAAATGGGCCCCAGTACAATGCCTTGGGGAAAGCCATTGGTAGAGGGATACCAGTCGGTTAGGTGGTCTTCGATCTGGACCTTCCACTTTCGACCAACAAGGAAAATCCTAACCGATTGGTGCAGCGGACAGCCAACGCCACAAGCTCATTTCTGTGGAGGAGGAGTTCATGATTTGCGTTGTAGAAAGCCTTACTGAAGTCAAGGTAAATGAAGTTGACCAACTTCCCTTGCTTCAGCGCTTGCAGCCATTTGTGCCTAGTCAACAGCAGGTTGATGGCGGATGATCAGCCTTTTACGAAGTTACTCCGTGCGGGCGTCAAGAGGCTTTTCGACTAGAGAAGCTGCAGAAGACCTTCATGAAGTTCTCAAGTATCTTTGTCAAAACAGAGGTCAGGCAGTGTGGCCGGTAGTTGTCCACTTTGCTTGGGTCAACACGCGACCCTTGGGTACTGGCTATAGGACTGAACATTTCCAGTCGCTCGGTGACGAATAATTGCACAGTGACCCGTTGAACGGCTCAGTCATGGAAAGCGAGGTGATGATGCCGATATAGACTTGAGAATCAGTAGGTGAATTTTATACTGCCCGGTAGGCTTAGTCTCCTCAAGATTGGCCAATATCTAGCGTATATCTTCAATACTGTAATTCAGGCTCTTTAGTTCGTTATTGGTGGTACCCCTCGAACTCGGTATTGACACCTGGTCATTTGCAAATACGGGATGGAAGCGCGCCTCCAATGCGGACGCAGGGTCGGTGATCCAGGTTAGGGCCTATCCATCTGAGTTCTCCAGCGCTCGCACAATGTCTGCAAGCTCTAGGCGTTGCCTCACTCGGAGGAAAATCCTATTGGAACTCGTTTTTGCTGCGGTTGGGAGCTGCGCTTCTAAGTTTCGGCGCTTAGGTATTTTCACATTGTTGCAGAAATGTCGCTGTCTCATGTACACCTCTCAATCCTCATCAGAGCCAGACAAATCGAATATGTTCCATAGTCTACATCGCCGATGAGCCAGTTTGCTGCACTATTTGTCAAATAAATGTGCCTTGACTGGTCCAACTTTTTGATGCCTAAAGGGTACAAATTGGGCGTACAATGATTGTACTATCTCTTTTATGATGATTCAAAAGGTTCCAATAGATGCATTCTTTGATAGCGACCAGCCCATCTGGCTCGCGGATCGATAGAGAGAATTCATGTCCGCTTAGCAACAGTTGAAGGCTGGCTCCAGTGGAGGAGAATAAGTCAGTGATGGTTCAAAGCTAGCTATGATCATCGAGTGGTCACTCGCTCCCAGGAGCTCAGACTTAAACATCATGCACAAGTTGCGTGCAGCCAGTCAAGAGTAGGTCTAAGCACGATGGAGTCGAGCGCGGCTATGCACTTCGGTTGGTTTACGGGCTGAGTGACCAGTTTATCACATATCACAGAGTAGGAAGCTGTTCAGAAGAACTCACAAGTAATTACATCGAAAATTCTGTACTCAAAATTTTGGCACCTGGTTGACTTAGCCTCAACGTAAGGCAAAGTATGAAAGTTCCTAGAAATGCTGTCCACGTTGCATCCCTCCTGCATTTAGAATCACTAATACTGATACAGCAAAAGCATTGATGCCGCCTCTGTATGTAGCTGATCTTACTCGGAAGCGCGTCTAGCCTTTCAGAACATACAGCTGTCTACTATTTCATCAGTCACCGTTAAGCCATAGAGGCAAACGTTGTTCCGTCCTTAGTGTAAAAGTGCAAGTGGAAAGTGAATGCATTGGAATACACTCGCATAAACACACACACACACACACTCACGAACTGACCTAGTAACCCGAATCCATAGATTCAAATAACCGAACCGGCTACGCTCTGTAGTTAACCGGATGAGAGCCGGCGGGTGTGTCTGCACCTTCACTTGGCGCGCGTTCAAATGCGATAACAGCGAAATCGTTCAACAAACATTTTGGAAACTGTCAAAATTCGCGTGGACTATTGAACCGGAATTGGTGTGTTGTTTTAGTGGGAGAACTGACTGCAAACAGTGCAAAAGTTGGACATCATCTGTATTCGTCATGCACCAGGGTTAAAAATATTCCACACCACAACTAACTGCAGTTCTCTGGTGCAAACAGACCTTCCAAGCTAAGTCACCTCGGTGGCTGTAGCAACAAGAAAACATTTAGCTAGTAAGTTTGCGAACCTCGTACACGTTTTGCGCGCCATGCAAATGGAGAACTAGGCACCACTTCTTGCTACAGTACGATGTTACCTTTCATGCGCATGGTAGGTATTCGCTTCATCAGTTGCTTTTGCTAATTACTCGAGAATCACATAATTTCGGGGGGCCCTGTTGGGTATACATCAATTGTCACGCTGATTGCATCGGACAATCAGTTTGGCAAAAAAATGAACCGTAAAATGTTTCTTAACACCTTATTGTTTGTGAGATAAATTAACCGCACGAATTATCACGTTATTCGTCCCAACTCACCCGTGTACCATCCATGGTGTCGATCAATGCCATTTGACTCTGGGGAGGATGATGGTCGTGTTTCAGTCATCAAAATGTCCACAGAAACCAGTGAGATTAAGGTCACACACCTCCGTCGGCAGCTGATCGCCGCTTATGCAAGGGAGGGACGTGCCGCCAAACTTTGGCGTGCCTCACGCGTACGTTACAGTAGGCTAGGCTTTAACCTTGTTTCCGATTGGTCGATTTGAGGCCTGACGAATCAAAAATTCGTAGAGATGGGCCGCGGCTGCAAGCCAACAAGAAGATGGATTTAGTGTCGCAATTGGCCTTGGAAACCTGATAATTCCTGGCGAGCTGGTCAATTTATTTTCAAATAGTAAATTATCGTATGTGTGTTTGGATTACGATACACTAACTCGGTTTGAACGAAACATGCGTGGTCGTTGTGCTTGCTACTGCTGCGCTTACTTCATAACAGTGGTGCTCCAAGTTTAAGGTGCACATCGCAGTTCAAATACCCAGTGGTTACTTTAAAACCAAGCAACGGAATCCTGATCGCTGTGGCAGGCTCTATTAATTGAGGCTGATTGTGTATTCGTGCTGGTGTCTGCCGTAAATTTAATAATAATAATAATAATAATAATAATAACAATCATAATAATAATAACAAAATGTAAAACCTTCGAATGTGCGACAGGCTGTACATGGACTAGGGACAGATCACTGGTACAGTTGCGATCATGCTGATGCATGTGTAAGATATGTAATGAGTAGCGTCCGTCTTATTAAGGCATTCCGAATCACATGGTTTTTGTCGGTGCCGATTTTTGTGCATAGCTTTCTCTACCGACTATATATTACTTGGTCTAACTTAGAAGAACTCACTTGATGATTTGTCCGATGAAAACATGGTCATTATCTTGTTCCGGTGTAGGGAATTTCCAAATTTATTGCTAAATCTTCTTGCTCTTGCACAAGAACTGATAATGGCTAGAGACAAATTCCACATGACAGCGTATCTGACGAGGAATAAGTTAGATCAAATAGCTGTTCTGGCTCTTCATACAGTTAGTTTACAAGTCTTGTTGCGGAGCCTCCTAGTAAAACTATGCTACAGTTCTAATGTGGACGGATTGGTGTCTTTCCTTTATGGCATTGTGCATGGGCATCAGCTGCTGTTTCAGTCGTCGCAACAAAACAGGTTCGAGATGAACGTGCTAGAGGTGCTCCGGACAGCTCAAGGTTCACAAACGTTTGCTGAATGATCTATGCGAGATTCCCAGAGGTTTATTGTTAACCATACGAATATTTCCATAAATGATGCAGCAATATTCAGGAATGGGAAAGATGGGTATTTTGAAGAGTTTGATTTTGGTAGGGCTTTGGTCCATAGACTGCATGGGTCGCAGTATTTAATATTTGGCATGTTTCAAAAAGGTTTGCTTGAAAGAGAAGCGTATCGCTAGATCACGGTTAGACAGTTTTACAAAGACGCGTTCGCCATCGAGTTTAATTGACTATTCAAATGCCGTACATCCGACCAGTGACCGAGCGGATTGCACGCCTGGCTTGCAATCCGTAGTTCACCGGTTTGAATCCGCGTAGGGGAGGTCGAACTCACGGTATACTCAGCCCACACGCGACAGGTGGCGGTCGAGTGGCAGCGAAGTGTCGGTACAGTGTGCTGGGGTACTGCGTGTACCAACGATACGAAGCCTAAACTAAGTACCTCCTACGAAAACTAAACTAGAAACTACGAACAAATAAACCTAGACTTAAAGCACAGTCTGGGCAGAAGAATAAAACCAATTATATTGTAACCGTGCGTTAAGTCTAGGTTTATTTGTTCGTAGATTCTACTTTAGATTTCGTATGACGTACTTAGTTTAGGCTTCGTATCGTTGATACATAAGTTGAATAGGTTTTGCAATCGTAGTGCAAGTGGGCAGCAATTGTACAGCGTGCGGCGGCATGCGAGTATTAGGGCAGTGTCACAGTAACATAATAATATGAATGACCTTGAAACGTCAAGTATATGTCAGTGATCGAGTGAAAGGAACAAATATACGATATGGTAACCGATTGTAAGACACACTGAAGCGATGTAAAATGAGCAGAATAATTACGGACTAGAGATACCGTGTTCGCATGTAAGCAATCCAGGTTGGGGATACATCAAAGTTCCTTTTGGACTTTACACTCCCCCGGCGGTTTCGTATTCCGGACGATGGCTTCCAAGTCATCAGTCTCTTCTTCCTGGTACGCGTCTAGTAGGTAGAGCTGTCTGACGTCTCTTCTCAATACACCTTTGTTTGTCCTCACCAGTGTTGTCGAAGTAATTTCTCTTTGATCTTGATAACTTTCTCCACGACACCCTTAGTCCACAGACCTCTTGATGTGCGTAAATCACAAAATAAAAAGAAATCACCCTGCCTAAGATCTCGGATTTCAGTTAACCATTTCTGCCTATTCTACCGTGTCGGTAGCAATACTCTGATCCACCTACGCCAAAACACATCGGACAGATGTCTTACCTGTCTCCACCTTCTGCTCAATTTGATTGGTAAGTTGATCGGTGGGTATTCAAGCGACTGATGTCATAATTGAGGGAACGCCTCTGTTATGATTGCGTAGATGCCTCATAAGATTGTCACTGGCACGGTTGGAGCACGGCTACGGTAACGGCTTGTAACGCTGGCCAATCGAACGGATTTGCGCTGACCTGATGGCCTGGCTTAGCCCGGGGTACGCGCTGGTGAGACGGAAACTGACCGAGCGTCAGAACGATCCTAGCCGCACTTATTCGGCTAGATGCTGAGCCCTTGGTACGGCCACACATGAGCAGCGATTATGGTAGACGCGCGCTAGTGACTTAGACGCGAACGCTGCTCAGCTAACGACGCACACAAAATCATGTGACCCGACCGACTCCCAACTGAGGCGAAGAGGAAGAAAGGCGAGTCGTCATCCGAAGGCTCTTTTACGACTAACAAAGGGCGAATCACAGCCAATGCAATGGGTTATTAAGTTAGAGGAAATTGCTACCACGACGAGGTGGTAGTTTGTAAAAGACCACTGTCAAAAGGTAAGCAGTTGGGCCGCGTCTCGGAGTGGCTGAACGCTGCTGCGTTGTGGGGAGGAATTGGACCTCGCTTTCCACAGCCATTCTGCCGGGGTTTCTGGCGCGTTTTTGCGGGAATATTTGACGGGCCCCTAAGATCTCGGATTTCACTTAACCATTTCTGCCTATTCTACCGTGTCGGTAGCTATACTCTGATCCACCTACGCCAAAACACATCGGACAGATGTCTTACCTGTCTCCACCTTCTGCTCAATTTGATTGGTAAGTTGATCGGTGGGTATTCAAGCGACTGATCATTTGCAAGCGTTAATAGTTGCCAAGGCGACATAACATCTTGCGACTCCGGGGAGTCAGGTACCACTACCAAAGGTCTGTCATTCAATATCCTTTCGAGCTCAGTGAGCGTTTTTACAAGTTCCACTTCGGTTACAACCTCGCCGTTCAGAAAGTTACGTAATAATTCCCGAGTCGATCGAATTAATCGTTCCCAAAGACCGCGATGGCTATAACGTAGAAGATTGAAATTCCAGGCAACCTCTCTAGCCAACATAGACTTGTGATATTCGTCTGATGCAGCTGCATCAGAAGATTCCGTAATTCTGCTGCAGCTCCGTGGAAAGTCTGTCCATTATAGCTGTTATTATATTACATTATATATTTTATATATTATTACATTCGACCATCCGTGGCTAGCTGAAAACATCAAAACCCACCCAGGAACGAATCGGTATCTATAGAGTAGGGGACCTCTACGTGAACAGCTCATGTAATCAAGCAACCGAAGAAAGAGACATAACTCTTACCACGTAGGCGGCCATATTTCATTAATAGCGATACAGAATAGTCGATCCCAATGCCGTGAACCCTGGGTGAGAATATTACTAGCCGTCCGTTGCATTATTTCGCGACTGAACTGTGATTTCTTGAAGCAGAAAATTCGTGCCGCAGAATTCACCTCGCTTAAATGTACAAAAATCCAAATGAAATCGGCATAAAATGCCATGACATGTATAATGGACAAGCTGCATCGCTTACACAGGATGTTTTACCAATCAAGTCCGGAGCTAGGAGCGGCTGCACTCAGGTGCTGACGTACCCCGGGACGCTGAATTGCTAACTGTCCAATGACGCAAATGGATTTGCCGGCAGGGGTGAGATGGAGCACAAAAGCGTGAGATGTGTGTCTACGATCGCAATGCACACCGAGCTGTTCGGCTGTGAGAACTGTACGTTGGCCAGACACCACGGCCGCAATCGACCTGCCATGCGTGGATTTTAGAGCAAGACCAAGGGAACGCAAGCTGCTCGGCTGTGAAAACTGGACCACACCCGCACTTAAGGTGTCATGCTTCGATCAATCGGTAGTCGGACTTCACGCAGGTGGAAAAGCCAGCAAACGGTACCCAGCGAAGTGGTTGGTGGATTGCTGTGCTGGCAATTGAGAAAAACAGCTTGGCCGAAGTTGATGGCCTGTCGATGGGCGCCGTATTGCTATTGCTACAAAAGCTGTTATCGTCTCACGACTGGCTTCCAACAAACCCGTAAGCTTTTATTAGGCTGCTTCCGCTGCTAAATGGAATCCTACTACCAGGAGCGCATTGTATTGCTCGCTTTACCATTTTAATCGCATGTGTGTTACAGCTGAAAATTCAACCTTCATGGGTGCATAGAAAAGAATGCTTGACTTGACGTGACAATGCTCTTAGATTTCAGTCTGCCCCGACGCATTGGTGGCACCATTAGAGAGTGCACCAATTTCGTCATGCATGCACCTATTGCCCTCACAGTCAGACAATTGCAATTTGTACAAACTGATCGGGCCCTCGATGATGTTTCTTGTGAACCATGACGATTATACATATATTCCTTTCTTTACTTATATTTACAAGACAAGTGAAAAATGTCTGCATATATCAACGAATTAGATGTTTGCAACATCAAAAATACGGACGGCCTCGCACCGTCATGGATGAAGTGCTTGTGCGATGGCGCAAGTGGTATACAGTAACAGCCATCTCCGCATTCGGCGACTCACACAATATTACAAATCCACACATGGGATATTGCAGGGAAATTTTCCGGCGGTACAGTGCACTGCAGTTGCAAGCGTTCAACGCACGCGGTTCACAGACGCGCCTGGAATTCGCCCGTCTGTGTTTAAACAGACTGGAGGTGCATTCCATTTTGTTTACCGATGAGGCGATGTTCCCGCTTCATGGTGAATGTACGCAGCATGTTTGGGCAACAACCGACCAACGGTAATG